GGGGGGGGGGGGGGGCGGGGGGGGAGGGGCCGGGATAGGCGGGCCTGGACCCGAGGGGCGGGGCCCCCAGGCGGCGCCGTCGTCACGGAAACGGCCCCTGAGCCGAACTACAACTCCCAGCGGCCCCCGCGGCTTCCGGTTGGCAAGATGGTGGCGCGCAGGAGGAAGCGCGCGGCGCGGGAGTCTGAGAAGGGGATTCTGAGCCCGCCGGGCTACTCAGGTGAGGGGCTGCGGGACGCGGGGCCGGGGGACGGCCAGGCTTCGTCGGGAGGAGGCTCGGGGTCGGCAGTGGCTCTGGGCCCCCAGGAGCAGCCACACAGTTGGAAGTGAGGCCCGGAAGGTTGTGAGGCCCGGGGCCCCCCAAGACCCACGCGGCGCCCTGTTCCCATCTGGCTCCACTCGCCCGGGACGAGCCTAGTTTGGTTAACGCTTTCCTTGAGTGAAGCCACCTCTGTCTACACTCCCAGGGCGAACCCGCGTCCGTCTACACTTTCCCCCTGAGGTGCGCCCATCCGCTTACCAGCTCCCCTTTGCAGTTCCTAGTCCAGCCCCCTCAGCGCTCACCTGGCCTGTGCCCTCCGCACTGGTTCTCCTGCCTTCCGTTTTGCACCCAGGAGCCAGAATATTCTTTCTAAAGTCAGATTGAAATCAGATCTTGCCTGACACGCCCATACCCACTGAACTCCCTCCAGTGGCTAAAGTTAGCACCTAAAACAAAATCCACACTTCCCACCGTTGACCTGCGTGGCCCCGCATAGCCTGGCTCCTGCTAACCTACAGCTCTTTCTGTTCCTCTGAGGCAACAAGCTCTTTACACCCTCAGCGTTTTCGTACTTGATGGGTCTTCCTCAGGCAGCTCTGCGCTGTTACACGGCTTCCTGTCATTCTGGTCTAAGCTTTAATGTTTCTTCCTGGTCCCGTAAGAGCTGGTCCCGATCGATGGCCCGTCCTAAGGCTCCTGCCACCCATCACCCTGCACTGTTTCACTCTGTGTGTTTCCTTCCTATTCGACACGACCTTGTTACATGCTTACACGTTGTCCTTTTCTCCCTCCGCCATGTGAGCTTCCTGAGTGCAGGGATTGCAACCGTATCCTCACTGTGCTCTGAAGAAGGCGGTGAGAAAAGCAGAACAGTCCTTAGTTTGATGAGGGTTAAAATTTATGGGAACGCCAGCTATCATCCTGATCATTGCACAAGGGACTCCCCTGGCGGTCCAGTGGTTAGGACTCCGTGCTTCCACTGCAGGGGGCACGGGTTCGATCCCTGGTCGGGAAACTAAGATACCACGTGCCATGGTGTGGCCAAAAAAAAAACAAAAAAAAGATCACACAGAGACATAGAGACCGTGAGAGAAGGTAAGAAGGCGCAGAGCAGGTGGATCTAACCTGGCATGTAAGGCTCTCCTGAGGAAGTGAAGTGAAAACCTGAAGGATGGGTGGAAGGACGAGGGTTGATGTTTCAGGAAGGGGAGAGCATGTGTGAGGCCCTGGCTTATTGGAGGAACAGAGAGGAGGCCAGAGGGGCCAGCACGTGGTGTGGAGGGGGGAGGGTGGGGTGAGAAGAGGCTGCGGAGGCGGCCACGGTAAGGATTTGGCTGTTTACCCCAAGAGCAGCGGAGTTGGAACTTCTCTCCTTTCGCATCCTGTTCACATTCTCTCTCCCGCAAGCTTGGGAGCTCTTTCTGGGCAGATTATCTGTTCAGCCTCCCAGCCTGCATAATACCCTACACAGGCCTTGCCTAGGGGAAGGGCTCAGTGAAGGATGGATGGACAGACAGACACACAGGACTAGAAAGGGACAGCCTGAACCTGACTTTCATGCTGTCCCTCCCCGCCACCATTTTCCTTCCAGCCATTCCCATCAAATTCTGTGAAAAGCAGCAGTCTTCTCATTACCTCTATGTGAGAGAGCACAAAGTTCGAGAAAGCACCAAGTCGTCCTGGCCTCAGAAACGGACCCTTTTTGTCCTCAATGTGCCCCCATACTGCACAGAGGTAAACTGGTGTCTGGGAGGGAACCTGGGCCTGGGGCGGGGGCTCCAGGCAGAGCTGGGCTCCTACGGGCCCCCCACCAAGTCCTTAGTGGTGCAGTGGAAACAGTTAACTGAAGCCCTGAGGGGTGGTATCTGTAAGGCTGCCTCTCTTGTGACAGGAGATTGGCCTTTTGAAGGTGTGTTGTAAAAAATATAATTCTCTAGGGAACCCAGAGCTTTTTATGTGTTACCCAGAATTGTTTATGTGTTTTTTCCCCCTGATTATAAAATTGATACATGTCCATTGCAGGTAATGTTAATAATACAGCTGAAATGTTCTGTTGCTTAAAGCGATCGATGCATAACTGTCTCTGTCTACCATAATTCCATACGAAGACAGAGACACATGTTCTCAAACATTTTTCTTGAGTATTGTGAAAGTTGTGCCAACTACTTGTGTGACATCTGACAACATAATCATTGTCTTTTTAAAAAAAAATTGAGGGACGGGACTGGTCCAGTGGTTAAGACTCCATGCTCCCAGTGCAGGGGGCCCAGGATCGATCTCTGGTTGGGCAACTAGATCCCGCATGCCGCACTAAGTGTCTGCATGCCACAACGAAGATCCCTCGTGCCACAGCTAAGACCCAGCACAGCCAAATAGATAAATAAATGTTAAAAAAAAAAAAAAATCTGATACATGTCCATAGTAAAAAATAGGAAAAGTGAAAGAAAATAAAATTACCTCTGAGTCTACTATGCAGACATGTCTGTTAAATTTTTTTCACAAAAGCTGTTAAATTTAGTATTTCATTAATTTACAGAAGAGAAACTAAGGGAATTGCTGGATTTTCAATGTTTTTTTTCAGAAAAGAAACTAATTTCTAAAAGATTCCTGTACAGTTAAAGAGAAAAAGTAACAGGGAGAGGAGAGGGTGTCATTCTTAACCTTTACTGAAGACTAGTGTATGTATGGAGGAGGGCCTGGACCCAAGTGTAGCACTCACAGCATTTCACAAACTGAGCAAACCTGTGTCATAAGTACCCAGGTCGAGAAACACAACATCACCCGCACCCCAAGAAGTCCCGTCATGCCCCTCCCCCCACGAAGGATAACCAGCATCCTGATTCCAACGGAGTAGATTTAACTCTTTTTTTTTTTCCAGCTGTGCCTCGCGGCATGTGGGATCTTAGTTCCCCAACCAGGGATTGAACCCGTGCCCCCTGCAGGGGAAGCATGGAGCCCTAGTCACTAGACAGCCAGGGAATTCCCAGATTTAACTCTTTTTAAATGGCTGATTCAGGTAGTAAAACTTAGTTGGTTTTCGTATAAAATCAGAGTACTCAGAATAAAAGTAAAAATGTCCCCACCTGTTCTTGTAATAATTTTTTTAAAAAGTTGAGAACCCACTCCTACTTTACAGATCATTCACTTTTTTTTAAAATTTATTAATTTTATTATTTATTTATTTTTGGCTGTGCTGGGTCTTTGTTGCTGCGCGCAGGCTTTCTCTAGTTACGGTGAGCGGGGGTTACTCTTCGTTGCGGTGCGCGGGCTTCTCATTGCGGTGGCTTCTCTTGTTGCGGAGCACGGGCTCTAGGCGCGTGGGCTTCAGTAGTTGTGGCTTGTGGGCTCTAGAGCGCAGGTTCAGTAGTTGTTGTGCATGGGCTTAGTTGCTCCGTGGCATGTGGGATCTTGCTAAACCAGGGCTCGAACCCGTGTCCCCTGCATTGGCAGGCGGATTCTTAACCACTGCACCACCAGGGAAGTCCCGGATCATTCACGTTCAAACGGAAAAATCCCTTTCAGGAACAGACCAAGCGTATCCTGGGCACGTGCTTCTAGCAGGGTCCTGTCATAAAGCCAAAAAGCTTATACCTGAATTTTGTCTCACCTCTGTGTCCTCCCTCCCGAGTCCCCGGCCAGTGGACTTTTTACCCACAGTTTTGAACATGAAAATTCACAAGGTTGCTGTCTGGGGCCGTGGGGGGCCGGGGTTGTGACCTCTGTGTTGAGGAGGTGGTAGGTTGCCCAGGCCCTCTGTGCACGCCCCCAGGTTGGACTCCGATATCTTCTGGGCCCCGGTCCCCTGGCAGTGCTGCCCAGGGCGGAGGGAGGCTCCAGAAAGGCCCTGTAGCCGCTCATACTGTGCTTCTCTCTGGCCACGGCAGGAGTGCCTGACCCGCCTCCTGTCCCCCTGCGGCCCTGTCCAGTCGGTGGAGTTACAGGAAAAGCCGGATCTTGCTGAGAGCCCAAAGGAGCCAAAGTCAAAGTTCTTTCACCCCAAGCCAGTTCCTGTAAGCCTCCACTAATGGGGTCTGCTTGAATGATGGTGTGGGTCGAGCTAGGGCAGTGTCCCCAGTGTGTAAGGGGAAGGTGGTGTCGGGGGTGGCAGTGGGACTTTCAAGTGTTCCCTGTGCTCAGGCCAGTCCTGGCCTTTGTGGTCTAGGAGGGCTGTCAGGTAAACAGCTTCCACTCCTTTCCCAGATTTGCCGTGTCCGGTCTGGCTCTTTCCATTGTCCTGGGTGAAAGCTCAGAGGCATCTCTGCTCACTGCCCAAGGGGCCTCCCTGAGCCACCCCCTGCGTCCCGCATTGAGGTCGATTCTTCCTTAGGCTTGGTGGCCTGGGCCTCATTCCCCTGTGTGCCTTGAGTCCACACTTCCTCCTGTTTAGTGGTGTTTGAACTAGTGAGCGCCCCATCTGTCTGTCCACTCCTGGCCCAGGGAGACACACTCTTCCCTGAGTCCCTCCAACACCTGGAACAAAAGTCCTGAGAGTCTCACCTCTCCCTGGTGAAGAGGTGGGATTAGGTCATATTTAGCAGAAGTTGCATAACTAGGAGTGTGGCCGCCCCTCCCCTGGATTAGAACAACCTCCTGGTTACCTTCACGTTCAGGAACAGCCCAGCACATCTCCCCCAGCCCCGCGACAAGTCAGGCTGAGGGCAGGGGGGAGCCCTTGGGCCAGGCCTGGGATGGCTGGGAGGATGGGAAGGCTCCCGGCACTGACATCTCTCCTCCTCCCAGGGGTTCCAGGTGGCCTACGTGGTGTTCCAGAAGCCACGTGGGGTGTCAGCTGCCTTGGCCCTGAAGGGCCCTCTGCTGGTCTCGACAGAGAGTCATCCTGTGAAGAGCGGCATTCACAGTCAGTACCTCGGGTGCCAGCGGGCGCCTCCTTCCTGGGCCCTGGGTCAGGGAGGGGAGCTTTGTGGGCTGGCGTCTGCCGTGTCCCCTCACCCTCAGAGCAGGTGTGGGAGGCTTGAGCTTGGCACTCGGGGTGGGCATAGGTGAGGGCCCAGCTTGCCACCACTAGGCTCTTCCTCACGCCCCGAACCCTGGCCCACAAGTCTCCCTCCCTGCGGCCTGTGCGAGAAGATCCCGCCTGGCCTGCAAGGTCCTGGGCGGGGCCCCGAGGGGCGGGCCTGGAATCCATCTCTCTCGCTCCCTCCTCCCTCAGAGTGGATCAGAGACTATGCAGACTCGGTGCCGGACCCCGAGGCCCTGAGAGTCGAGGTGGACACGTTCATGGAGACATACGACGAGAAGATGGCTGAGGTGGGGCTTCCGCACGGGCGGCTGGTGGAGTCCAGGCTCCTCTCTCTCTGCTGAGCCCTGGGCCTCCTGGCTGGGTAACATCTAGTCTCGGAATGGTCTCTAGGGAAAGGACGGTCGAGGGTGGAGGAGGAGGCAGCGTTGGCACGTCTGCCCCCCGCCCTTCCCCCACACTCAGCCGCTCACACAGTGCTGGGTGCGGCGCCAGGGCCATCCTGGGCACGGGAGGGAGAGTGGAGAGGGGGAGGTGAGGTGCTCCTGGGGCTGCAGGGCGGCTCCCAGGCACCTGCCCATCCCAGGGCCACGTTCTTTGCAGGAGGAGGCTAAGGCCAAAGAGGAGGAAGGGGTCCCTGACGAGGAGGGCTGGGTGAAGGTGACCCGCCGCGGCCGGCGGCCGGTGCTCCCGAGGACGGAGGCGGCCAGCCTGCGGGTGCTGGAGAGGGAGAAGCGGAAGCGTGCACGCAAGGAGCTGCTCAACTTCTATGCCTGGCAGCACCGCGAGACCAAGATGGAGCGTAAGGGCACGCCCCAGGCCCCTGTCCTTCGGCCCCCTGCCCTGGGTGCCCGGGCTGTGGACGCGGTCTTGTGGCCGCTCTGCCAGCCCTGGCCAGACACGGAGCTCCTGACGGCAGGCGCTAAGCCTGCGGGCGGGTAGGGCGTTCTTGGGCGCAGACTTCCTAAGAGGCTCTGGGGTTAGGGTCCCAGCCTGGCAGCGTCCCCGTGTCGTGGGCTCCCTGTTGCTCCCGAGGCAGCTGCGGGTGCCTCTGGGTATTGAGGCCACACAGGGACCTGGGATGTAGGCCCCACCTCCAGGCCCCCATCAGCCTCCGGCAAGGAGCCACACACACAGGGTGGCCACACGCAGAGGGAGCCCCTGACCACCTGTGGCTGCTCTCGGGGGCTAGGACGCCGAGCTCGCGGCCCGGGCCGCCTGGTCTCCTGCTGGCAGGATGGCTTCCCTGTGGACCCGGGAGAAGGTCCTGGCCTTGCACGGGGGAGGCCCTGACCCCGCCGCCCGGCCACACCGCGCCTTCACCTGCCTCACTGCTCCTGCCCACACCCTGCCCACCGCTCCTTTGCTCTGTGCTCCTCTGGCCCCGCCTGACAGGGGCCTCCAGCATCCTCCCCTCCCTTGGGCTCAAAACCCCACACCCGGCGCCCCGACCCGGTCACCGTTGGTGACCGGAGTCGCCGCGTGAGTTCTGTGGCAGTCTCGGGGTGGAGGCCCCTTACTTATTCCTGACGCGCGCCCCGGCCTGATGGCTGCCGTGAGGAGGGGCTGGGAGAGGTGTCCCGGGGTCTCCCAGCAGCCCCAGAACCTTCTTCCTTCACCTTGGGGGGCGTGTTGGAGGCGGGGTGGTAAGGGCGCAAGTGCCTTGTAGCTTTTTCTGCTTTCTCTTTGACCTGGTGAATTTTCCGCCTGAAACCTGGGGCGTGCCTTCTGCTCCACCTCAGCCTCTGCCCTCCGACTGGGCTGCAGGCCGGTTCCGGTTCCCACTGCAGAGGCGACGGGGGAGGGGGCGGCCGTGCGGAGCGCCACCAGCGGGGAGTGGGGACTGAGGGAGGGGCTGCTGCCCTCGCGAGTGGGGGGCAGCGGGGGCAGCTTCTGCCCGGCCTGTCTGATCCCGGCCCTGTCTCCTCGTACCTCCTCTCGCCCCAGATCTCGCGCAGCTGCGCAAGAAGTTCCAGGAGGACAAGCAGAGGATCGAGCTGATGCGGGCCCAGCGCAAGTTCCGACCCTACTGAGCCTCACCCGCCCGTGGGCCCCGTGGAGAGGGGTGGTGACTGGGTGGCAGTGCGTGGCCAGCGAGGACACAGGGCCTGCAACACTCATCTCAGTGGCTGTGCCCAGGCTGAGGGGCCACGCGTCAGCCCCAGAGATCTGAGCCCACGTGATGTGGGGTGCAGGACACTGTCACCCCTTGGTTCCTGTGCTTCGGCAGTCCTGGGGCCCGGCGCAAGGACCTGGACTCCGGAAGCCACTGGCCCAGGAAGTGGCTCCTTCCCTGTCATGGGCTCTGTCCCCAGCCTGTCTCTGGACTCTCCTCTCAGGGCCAAGTGTCTGCTGTGTTCTCCCCTTCCTTCTAACGGAGAAGCCCCCGTGGGCAGTGAGACAGCCTCAAACGCAGAAAGAATACAAGAACATTTTATTTTTCATCCAGCTGGGCGGCAAGAGAAGGCTACAAAAGGCCAGTGGGCCTATCCCAGCCCCTCCCTCTGCCTGCTACCGAGTCACAAAACAGGTAACTCCCACACCCAGACACCATCTCCCCCTTGAAGTCACAGATGTTAGCGTCAGAATCTTGTATTCCCCCCCCC